AAAAGCGGGCCTAAGCCAGCAGGTGGACATCCTCCGAGGGGTCCCAGACTGCAAGAGGGCATAGGCCAGGTTGAGGGCCACCACCCGCCCCCGAGTGCACAAATTTTTGTGCACCGGGCCTCTAGTGTAATTATATATGTGTTTTCCGATGGTCTTAGGCAATCCCTATGAAAGGGTCATTCAACCCCCAAAGGGGTTGCGACCCACAGGTTGAGAACCGCTGACCTAGAGTTAATCATGGGTAGAATCTTGGTGCAAAGCTGTCCAAAATGTTTCTATATATCTACACCCAACATATACATATGATCCTATATTCTTGGTGTGTAAAGGCTCATGAAGGCAATAGTTCTCTCAAAACTGTATTAACCACATGCATTTTAGGACTATTCACTTAAATGGGACCCCATTCTTGTTACAAGTTTCATAACAGGCTGATTTCTTTCAATTCCAGATGAAACTGCTCAAGTTACCTCTGATTATGAAACGAATAACAACAGTGATAGCAGTGATATTGTACAGAATGAAGATGAAACCGAGTGCCCAGCAGAGCCACTGAGGAAAGCTTCAGCTTGTAGCACCTATGCGCCTGAGACCATGATGTTCCTGGTAGCCCCATATCACTTATCTCATTTGTTGACCTGAGAAATTGGACTCTATTATAGGAATTGGCTTAGACATAGATCCCAGAATCATTAAGTTTACAGAAATATCTCATTTGGATTTTAGTTGTACTATAGCTCTCCCCATATATATGAATATAATTTTCCCTATTTAAGTCTTATCTCTTAATAATTTATTTTCTTAGTGAATAAAAATATAAGTACTCATCTCCACAAATGATTATAGCTACTTCTTAACCCAATCTAAAAGTGTAAATATGCATAAGAAAAATGAATTATTTCATTCAGTAAAATAATCCTATATAATAAAAGCCTAATATGCTAAGTGTCCGGTCGTCCATTCAACCAATCAAAGCATAAAATCCTAAAGCCACTCAACCACTTGCTATAATGTGCACTGACCACCACGGGGCAGACAGTCGACCAGTTGTTATGATGTGCACTGACCACAAGGTGGCAGACACTCCGACTGGTAGGTCAGCTTGCTGCTGGGATCCAGCTGATTGGGACTGAACAAGACGGGCAAGACAAGTCCTGGAGCCCTCCTGCAATCCTCCCCGGCCCCGATCATGCACAAGTGGGGTCCCTCGGCCTGGCCTACACCCTCTTGCAATCAGAGACCCCTCAGGGGATGTCAGAGAGCCGGTTTCAGCCCGACCCCACAGGCCAGGTAGAGGGACCCCACTGGTGCATGAATTAGTGCACCGGGCCTCTAGCATTTTATAAATATCAATCATTCAATAAAGTGAAATGTGTTAGTTGTCCTAGGGCATCTGCTGGTTGTTTTGTGCGTGTGTGTTTCTAGCACCTTCTTAATTTAGAAACTGAGTCAATATTTGGTTTTTTTGTATTAAATCAGGTTTACATAGACACTTGCTATCCATTAAAATATCCTTTAATAATGACTTATTTTGTGTGTTTAAAGTGATCTGTTTAAAAAAGGTTAAAGCATATTTGACTCAGGTTAATTTTGGGGAGGCAGCAAATGGTAGAAAATAATGGTCTGTCATGTGATTATCAACTACTAATATTATCATTCTTCTTTAACCTGATTTATCATTTAATACTTTTAAATCAAAGAGATTTTCAAACAAAACAATTTACATTTTTTATCCACATTATCTTTCTTTTCTTTTTTATAGATGTATTCTTAATAATGTCCTCACTAGGGATCAATTATAAAATGTCTATACATGTATAAGGTACATGTTTCTTTGGAAACTGTACATCACATGAATTAAATTAAAATCCTGAAAAAATGTGGCTGTTGTCATTCCACGGGATTAACCCTAATTTTGAAGCAGTAATACAAATTTTACCAATTTTAGTAGGGATCATTAACGCCTCCTCCCCACTCAGGAGTTTCTTTTGAGAGTCCAATATGAGCTAGGAATGTTCATCTCAAAAAATTTTACATAAACGTATAAAGAGATCAATTTAATGCAATTTCCAAGTGTTCTGAAGCCCTTGAATTTTTCCTTAAGAACCCTACAGTAGTTATGTAAACTTATGGAAGAAGCATCTTTCTTTTTTCTTTTCTTTTCCTTTCTTTTCTTTTCTTTTCTTTCCTTTTCGTTTCTCTTCTTTTCTTTTCTTTTTCCTGTAACATGTATGAACCAGCACAAGCAGGCACCTAATAATACAAAACATGGTCTAAAACAGCATAAGGACCATTTCTCCTTACTTAGGGGCCAATGTCTTGTTCATCTTGATGTTTTTTTTAAAGATCACCCATTCACCCTGAAGTATTAAGTCATTTACTTCAAATAAACTCAGTTGTTTCATTGAACTTACTAAAGCATGAATTGCTTTATAGAAAAACTGTATATTGTTAAAATATTTTCATCTTTATTCCAGGACAAACCAATTCTTGCTCCTGAACCTCTTGTCATGGATAACTTGGACTCAATTATGGAGCAGCTAAATACTTGGAATTTTCCAATTTTTGATTTGGTGGAAAAAATAGGAAGAAAATGTGGCCGTATTCTTAGTCAAGTAAGAAATGAATTCATACCTATGACTTTAAATATAGAAAAAAAAAATCCTCGGTTGGTTAAAGCTCTGTACACACTTGATATCAGTGGTGGGTAGTGAGTACAGAAAGGAAATTTTAGTACCCAACGTTCTATAGATTTGGTGGTCATGGGTTAACAAAAGTAATTGGAACTTAAATGAGTAAAACACCATAGTCTGCAATTAAAATATGTATTTTGGGGTGGGATATACAAGCAAGATGGAGAAATGATCTAAAATTCATAGAACTCAGCAGAAGAAAAACTGACACAGGCCCTCAAAAAAAGAAAGCTGCCTATTTATAAACACTAATTTATTGTAATTATTTCCATTGACTATTTTCTAAACTTTTTAATTTTACAGTGTTTAGACCTTATAAAAACTAAGATATTATACATAATTATCTTCCCCTCCAGTGCTATGATAAACACATTCAAAGAGAGTTCTCTGTATTTTAGTATGGAAACAACCTTCATGCATCACAAGCTAGACTATTTTCAAATTTTCCCAAATAAATATTTGTTTCTATGAGGGAGGAAAAAAAATATAGAAATTAAGAATGAAAATTTTCTCAATAATCAAAAAAACAATGGATTTACTCAATTAATGAACACATATCAAAATATATACTCTTAAATGGGATGATGCAATAACACTTATTACCTTATTTTAAAATGTCTTAGGTGAATTCTTATAGATTAAATAAATATCACAGCAGAGATATGAAAGACTACCAACTCCTTAATATAAGGTTTAGATGAGAATTCAGGACCCTGATTTATTGTTGCACTAACATTCCCTGGAAAACACCAGAAGACAAATCAGTTTATATACTGATTTCTACTTCACACATTGGAGACAGGCTTTGCTTGGACCTCTCAGCCAATATCTGAGTGTGGAACTTCAGGATGAAGATTCCTGATCCATAAAGGTTTGAAGGAAGAAGATAGAGGGGCCTTTTCCTCCATTGTTCAGTTCCACAAACAAGTACTAATCTGGTCCTCAAGAAGAAAAATGCATGTCCGCCTTAAAATCCTACCAGACCTGAGGCGCTGAACCTACCTGTCCCCTATACCTGGGCTCCTGAGCATTAAAGAGAAAAAACCAACATGATATAAAAAAATGTTAGTTACATGCAAACAAGTGGTTAGAATAAGATGGAACTTGGAGACATTGTAGAAAATAGGTCTACCTTTCATCTACCTTTCATCTAGCGCCAATATTCCACCTTTGTGTGGAAATTACTGAAAAATTGGTACAGCGGTCTGGTAGACTTAAAGGAACGCCTGTTCTATCAGGAAAATGAGATGTCTGTCAAAATTAAATGACAGTTCATGCTACAGACAAGAGAAGTATCCTAAAAATGATTGATAAAATATGAAACTCAGAATAATTACAAAGTCTATGTAATGTGCAATTGTTGCCGCTGCTATACTTCATCACAGCCATGCACATATTGAGGACTAAAATGGCCTTATTCTTTTCCTAGGAGTTATTAGTCCCGTTCTTCTCTCCCTTTCTCCTCATGCTAGGCAACATTTTTTTATGCTAGCTGATCTTAAGGACAGGCTTTAGGGTAGACTTTCTTCTTTTATTAATTAAAAAATTATGATTAAAATTAAATTTATTGGGAGTGACATTGGTTAATAAGATTATATAGGTTTCAAGTGTATATTTCTGTGTTACCTGATCTATATATTGCATTGTGTGTCCACTACCCAAAGTCAAATCATCTTCCCTCCCCATTTATTTTGTCCCCTTTACCCTTCACTGACCCCCACCCTCCTGTCTTCCGGTAATCACCATACTATTGTCTGTGTCTATGAGTTTCAGTTTTACAACCCACATACGAATGAAATTATATGGTTCTTTTTCCAACAGACTTGTTTCCCTTAACATGATACTCTCATGGTCCATTCCTGTTATCACAAATGGCGGTATTTCATCTTTTCTTATGGCTGAATAGTACTCAGGGCAGCCGTTTTTCTTCACTCCACCCTAGCCTCATGCATCAGGGCTCCCCCTGGGAGGTTTTGCATTCCACTTTCTGAAACCCGTGGCAGACTGTGACTCCGAGGGAGTGATTTTTCCTGCAAATATGCCTGTCATGGTGCCACCGGAAAAACATGGCCGTGGGCCAGGAGCTCTTCTCTCTTTTACTGGACAGTGTTCCCTGGTGTGGAGAGAAAAATCTCCCATTGTTTTGTATGTGATACGTACATCACAGACTCCCCGAAACTCTACAGTTTACTTTTCTCAGTAACTTTGATGCAGGAATTTTTTTTCAATCTCTATTTTACAGAAGAGGAAATTGAGACTTCAAAGAGGAAATACTATTCATCTGCAGTCATATAGGGCATTAGGGCATATTGGATCCATGATTTGAATGCAGACACATCGTATTGGCAGTCCAGGCTTTTTACCTTTATTTCAACTGCTGTTTAGCCTCCTATAAGACATACTCACTTATTATATCTCTAACTCTTTGGAGATACAGAATGGAGAGTCTGAGCAATAGAAAAGTCGTTATGATAGAGCCGGTTTGACAGCAGCAGTGACAGTGTACAAGGCATCATTGTAGCATCCCATCTCCCCTCACAGTTCTGTGAGTTGGAGGGTGGGAGGGTGGGTCTTGACCAGCTTTTCCGCCAAATGTTTTCTAAGAGTCTTGGATATGAGTAGCCATCAGAAAGATTAGACATGATTAACAATTCAATTTCGACAAGATTCATTAATGTTATTTTCCACTCTTCTTTCAAAAATAAAATAAATATGTAACTGCATGATCCTTGTTATGTCACTTTATTTTTTCAACTTACAAAACGGTAAACTTTTTGGAATTGCCGCTTCATTTGCACTGCTAAATAGAACTTTATGGGAGTTTTTTGCCCTTTGATTTGAGTTTATAAGGACAAACATCATGAAATTTTCACTGTGTGAAAGGCATATTTTTTTTTCACCTTAGTAAGAATTTAGGACAGCTGAAATGAATTAACTTGAACATTCCAAGAAATCACCTTTTGGCTGAAACTTCACAGAAAATGTCTCACTTCAAAAGACTTTAAAAGAGACATATGTGTAGTGGAAATGACTTCTCAGTCTCAATATACTGCCTGCCTGTCTTTTTTATGATTATCATGTTTATTTTAATAAAGTTGAAAGGACATTATTCAGATTTTGGAATGGTGCTCACTTATTTCAGTCACCAATATCTATCTGGTTAATGGTGCTGTTTATTTATGAGTTTGGATTATTGATGGTTGATTTTTAGCAGCTTCTTGGCGAAAATTCTCCTGTTTTAAAATCACACTGTAAAATATCCTGTTGTCTTAATTTTTTAATTCATCTTACAAATGTTAAAAAAGAATAATAGGAAAATTTAATTTAAAAATCATTGCATTTCAAATATTGGTGGTAGGATTTGAAGCTGTTAAAAGTACAAAATATGAAGCCAAACTACTTTGCTTGTATTCTAGCTCTGATAATGTGCCAGCTATGTGATCTTAAACAAGTCACTCACCTCTCTGTGCCTTAGTTTCTCCTGTTTTCAAATATTAATAATTAATCGTATCTATCTCAGAAGGTGTGAGGATTAATTACATGTAAATAATTAATATATGTAAACTCTTTGAAGTATGCTTCTCACTTATTAAATGCCAAATATATAAGTATATATGTACATATATATATATATACACATAGAAGCTGTTATTGGTGTTATCATTGAATTAATATGCAGAAATAAATCCATTAGGTATTTATAAATAAGAACGCAAATATTATATGAAGCATTAGTAAAGGGGAAATAACTAAAAGAATTGGCTTGAAATATTAAAGAAACCATAAACTTCACTTTCTATTGCATTTTTAAATTCTTTATTATTTAAAGTATTACATGAGTCTCCTTTTTTCCCCCATTGACCTCTCCCCTGTCACCCCCACCCCCAAGCACAAGCCCTCACCCCCCCTACTCTCTGCGTCCATTGGTTTTGCTCATACAAGTCCTTTGGTTAATCTCTGACCCCCTCACACCCCGCCTTCCCTCATAGGTTGTACCGTCGGTTCGATGCTTCTATGTCTCTGGTTCTATTTTTGTTCATCAGTTTATGTTGTTCATTATATTCCACAAATGAGTGATCATGTGATATTTATCTTTCTCTGGCTGGCTTATTTTGCTTAGCATAATGCTCTCTAGTTCCATTGATGCTGTTGGAAATGGTAAGAATTCCTTCTTTTTTACAGCAGTGTAGAATTCCATTGTGTAGATGAACCACAGTTTTCTAATCTACTCGTGTGCTGATGGGCACTTAGGTTGTTTCCAAATCTTAGCTATTGTAAATTATGCTGCTGTGAACATAGGGGTGCATATATCCTTTCTAATTGGTGTTTCTGTTTTCTTGGGATATATTCCTAGAAGTGGGATTTCTAGGTCAAATGGAAGTTGCATTTTTAATTTTTTGAGGAATCTATTGCATTTTTTAAAGAGAAGAAGTGGGATGTTATATTACACAGAAAAAGGCTAAAAATTAAATATGCTTGCTGTTCAAAGTGAAAAAAAAAACCCACATAGAACTGATATACATTATATTCTGTTTCCAACCAGCAACTACAGTGCTCCTTTTAAAACGTATGTCAAATAAAGTTACTTTCCAGCTTCATTGTTTCAATGGCTCCCTACCTCATGCGGAGTGAAACCCTTACAATGGTCAATACGACTGTCAAACACCAAGACTGCACCAATCCCAGCATACAGTCTACTCCTGCCTTCATTCCGTTCTGGCCTTCTTGCTTTATCCACGCTGGCTTTCTTGCTGTTTCCTGTGTACCTCGGGCCTTTGCACTGGCTTTTACTCTACGTGAGCAACCCTTTCCTTAGATAGCCACGTACCTCCCTTCACACTTCCTTTAACTCTTTGCTCAAATGTCCCTGATCCCCTTTTGCTTTTTGTATATGACTTCTGACTTTCTGTCAAAGTATATACCTTTCTTATTATGTCTACTACCTTGCCCTACTAGATCCATGAAGGAATACACACACACACACACACACACACACACACACACACACACGCCACGTATATAACAAACTGCCTAAAAAATAATAGGCACTCAATAGATATATGCTGAATGAATGAATCTCATATATATATATATATACATATATATCACATAGTGACAAACATTGAATATATAATTTTAAACTGTTACTGAATTTGAATAGATTTAAAGTCAATAACAAAAGATGAAGGTTTATCTATGAAGCCATATATTAAAGTTTTAGGGGAAGCAGTCCAAGATAATTTTATGAAGAAAATCTTCTGAATTATACCCAATTCTGTGCCTTTGTGACATGAAGTAAGGCTGCTGTAAATGCTGTTGTATCACTCTGCCACTAGAATAACCACTTCTCTCTCCAATACCATATGCTTGCTGTTCACAGTGTTTTTCTTCATTCCCTTTATTCTTTTTTTCTTCATTTGCATGTCAAAAATGCCAGTTACATCCGAAGGCATTTACTTAATTTTAGTCACTAGAGCTGTGAAACGAATTGGATGGAGAATAGCTAGAAAGAGGAGAAAGAGGGCAAGCTAGAAAAAATAGTTTAGACATTATTATTTTGAATAGAATAAATCTTTTTTCTCTATATATTTTACTCAAGACAACCCTTTTCTCTCTCATAACTTTTTCTCCTTTTCCTTTCTTCATTCACAACTCTGAATTCTTTATCCTCTGGAAAACTTTTATATAGATACATAGATAGATAAATAGATAGATAGATAGATAGATAGATATAGATATATACAAGTGTATATATACATATACTGTATATATATATATAGAGAGAGTGTGTGTGTGTGTGTTACTGATAGATAGATAGATAGATATAGATATATACATGTGTATATATACATATACTGTATATATATATAGAGTGTGTGTGTGTGTTACATATATATATATAATTTAGATAAACTTAAGCTGTCTCATTCTTTTATTAACATTTATAGTATGTACTATATAATTAGAAATGTAGTAAATATTATTCCCCAATTAATGATATTACATGTAATTTAATTTCTTGATATGTTTCTATAGTGTGCACTGCATTCTGAGTTGGTTGTTTTTTGGGTGAATGTGTCTGTCTTTAAATATGTCCTCCTGTGCTCAGGTATTTCAAGGGCTAAGCACATAGAGGCCTCCAAACTCAATTTGATATCTTGTTCCCAATAATTGTTTCTATTGGACATAAATAATACGATTTTTTCTTTTTATGTCTAATACACACTCAGGAATGTGCCTTAAGGCTTTGCTTTCTGTCTTACAGGTATCATACAGACTTTTTGAAGACATGGGCCTCTTTGAAGCTTTCAAAATTCCAGTTAGGGAATTTATGAATTACTTTCATGCTTTGGAGATTGGATACAGGGAAATTCCTTGTAAGTCTAATTTATTTGTGAAATAATACTTTAAACATTCATATAATTTGCTAAAGTTAATGGTATATTGAATCACTAACAGCCAGCACATAATTACATATTGTAAACTTGCCCTAGGGCCACATGATATAGTCTAGGAAATAATAGCCTGTGTTAAAATCCTGGACTCTTCACTTATCACCTGTAGGAGAGCCTGGGTCTTTTTTACCCTCTGCATGCTCATTTCTTAATCTGTAAAATGGGATCATAATACCTGCTTCATAGAATTAGTATGAGGATAAAATGAGGTAATACCTCTAAAACAATTATAATAGTGCCTTACATATAGTAAGTGCTGCTTAAATGTATGCTAAATAAATCATTAAATGTTCAATGTATTGTTCGTTTTCCAATGTATGCCTTTCATTGACTGAATTCAACTTTTGTTCTGGGAGCTGCAGAGTTAAATCATTAGCTATTGAAGTTTTTCCATATAATGTAAACCTGGTTTGTGGTAGAAGGAAGGTAGGATGATGGTCTAAGTAATAAACTAGAAAAGAAGAAACATCTGGAAGTAGTTGAGGAGAAGTTATTAGAAACATTTTTTAAATGAAATAAATGGGAAGACCCAAGGAAAGGATAAAGCCAGTGTTCAAGCTTATGAACTTTGAATATTCCGAGAGAAAGTTTGTCATTTACAGTCGTGAGACATTGGAACACAAAGGAGATGTTAAATTATATTGTTAATATGTAGCATTTCAGGTAGCATCAGAACACGGAAGTAAAATTGCCCTATATGTTAAAAACTACATGAAACTGGAGAAAATGTCCATAAATCTAATTAGTGAGGTTGGGGAAATGTGTAGAAAGCATGTGGTACTTTTAGAAAATAAACGAGTAGTAAGAAAAATAGTCAAACGTAATATATGGGTTGGAACATGCCTTAGAAATATGTTGTTTAAATCATATTTTAACTTTTAAGTTTTAAATTTGCTTTTATGTACCTTGGACTTTAGAACCCATGTCTTTTTGTAGTTACAAAGAGCTGAAATAAATAAAAATTATATGGAGAGGATAAAGCACAGGTATTTCCAGAAACTGGTATACATTGACCCAGTGACCCATTATTAAAGGATTGTTTTTCAAGATGCCATGCACATGCTACATTGGAATGAAAATGCACAGCTGATGATGTGTGATGGCAAAGGAGAATGAAGAATCAAACCTACAAATTACATTTGTGGGATTAGGCGAGAGACGAGCCGTGGGAGTATGAGAGAGAGGAGCTTAAGAGCACTGGCCTTTGGGAAAGTCTGGTCAATGGACTATGAAGTTGGAAGAGAGAAATGAGAAAGGGGTAGTTTGAAAGGATCTCAAGTCTTGCTTTCTTAATAATATTTCCAAGGCCCACCCTGGTTGGATGCCAGTGATTGACATGAGTTAGTGATTTCTCAAAGACTAAGAATCTAGTAGTTACATAAATACATTTTTATAGAAAGGAAGCCACCAAAAACACTAAACGACAGCTAGTTACCAGACTAACTTTACAAATTAATGTCATATTTCCAAATATAGTTCTGTGATATAGTCCACTACAGGCAAGTTCCAGTGAGCAATTGACATAATGAGGGAAAGTTGACAAATACTTAAGTGGAAAAAGAAGTTTTTAAATCCTAAATTTTTAAATTAATTTTTACACTTTCTTATTACATGTTTATATGTTATAAGTAAATAGTTTTTTTTTCTGAAATAGTGGGTTCTTCATTCTATGTGAAATGAATTTGTTATAATAAATCTGCTTGTCCTATTAGAAGCCCCACTTTTTGTAAAGGGAATTCATATCTTCTCACAAGAAAGTTTTAGCTTGATAGGTGATCACGTTTAAATAATAATACCTTGCATGTGGAAGGGTTGTAAATCTATACTAATCAAAAGCATTGTGTATCATTAATTATAATGGTCACACATAAAATTTTGTTGTATGTCTACTTTTTATTTTTATTTTTTTAAAAAATATATTTTATTGAGTTTTTAGAGAGAGGAAGGGAGAAGGATAGAGAGTTAGAAACATCGATGAGAGAGAAACATCGATCAGCTGCATCCTGCACACTCCCTACTGAGGATGTACCTGCAACCAAGGTACATGCCCTTGACTGGAATCGAACCTGGGACCCTTGAGTCCGCAGGCCGACGCTCTATCCACTGAGCCAAACCGGTTTGGGCTGTATGTCTACTTTTTAAATATTTACTGCTGGAGAACTAGATTTCTAACAACTCTAGCTAAATAAATCCATAACTAAATGAAAAAAGCCTGAGTAACCAAAATAGAGTTAAATTAACTTTAATATGACAATGACCTAAAATTTTAGAAACTAAATTTTATTTTACTTTTAAGTATGCTTTAAAATGTTTTCCAAGAAAGAAAATATGAAAACTTTTAAGTTTTTACCCAGAACCCTTACCAAAATTTAAAGAATCTAGATTTTAAAATAGTTCCCCTATACCTGATTTTGTCTATCTCTCAACTCAAACAAGCTCCACCAATACCCCACTACTGCCCCCTTCCACTCTGCAATTTTGGGTGCATGCACAAGTTTCCTTGACTAGCAATAGTGATGGTAATTATTTGTTCACAGTAATTTTCCCAGCTTGCAACAGGAAGAAGAACTCTCAGAAGGTCTCTCCCAACTCATCCCCTAACCATGGCACCCTCTGCCCAGAGGCCATCTTCTTCCTCTACGGGGGTCATCACTGCCTTCTCCCTCCTCAAGGACTTAGCATAGCTCTTATTTTAACTTTGTCATTATATTCTCAGGAATCATCGAGAGAAAACTGGTGATCTGTGCTAATTCACCATTTTGTTCTAACAGCAATAACTTGTTTTATCTGAACGATATTTACATTAATTACAAGCTTACTATATCATATACTCTTAAGATGCATTCCGGCCCTGGCCAAGTGACTCAGTTGATTGGAGCATTGTCCCATATAGGAGGCAATCAGATAGCAGTGTTTCTCTCTCACATATAGGGGAGGCAGCAGATCCATGTCTCTCTCTCTCTCTCTCCCTCCCTCCCTTCCCTCTTTCTCTCCCTCTCTCTCCCCTCCCTCCCTTCCTCTCTCTCTAAAATGAATAAAAGCATATCCTCAGCTGAGGATTAAAAATATAACAAAATAAAACATGTCCTAGCAGTTGTGGATAGAGTTGGCCTGCAGACTGAAGGGTCACTGGTTCGATTCCCATTCAAAAGCACGTACCTTGGTTGAGGCTAGATCCCGGGCCGGGGCTGGTGCAGGAGGCAGATGATCCATGTGTCTCTCTCACATTGAAATTTCTCTCTGTGTGTGTCTCTCTCCCTCCCTTCCACTCTCTAAAAATCAATAGAAAAACATCCTCAGGTGAGGATTCACCAAAAAATAAAAATAAATATGTTTCCTTTTGTAATTCTCACAATTGTACTATCAAAGCTTTTATAAAGACATTTCTCAAGCACTCACCCAGCCCCTCAACTGAATTACCCACGTCCCCTAAAGATTTACTCAAAGAGTTGCCAGAATTGTAGGAAATAGGCACCATCTACCTACATCCCCCGTGTGCTGCCAACACCACAGATGTCATGGTTTCTTCTTTCTTCTTTGACCAGGGGACAGGTCTTTCTCTCAAATTCCCATTAACATTTCTCTTCTCTTCTGTTTTCTCCTCATCTGTTCAATATTACTCAGAGATGTAATCTATAGTATAACCCAGTGGCCCTAACGCCATAATGACCAAAGACTGGTGTGGGTGGGCGGGGCTGTGAGCACAGCCAGGCTGCATGGGTGGGCGGGGCCACGCCATTTTGCGCTTTGGACTTCTAGTATATTATGTAGTTATATGCCACAGAGCAACATTTTGGTCAATGACAGACTACCTTTATGAGGGTGGCATACCATACAGTCTAGGTGTGTAGTAGGTATACCATCTAGGTTTGTGTAAGTGCCTGCTATGATGCTCCCAATGACAAAATTGCCTCGCGATGCATTTCTTAGAACAGATCCCCGGCACTAGATGGTGTATGATTGTATTGGAGAAGGACACTGTCTCATGGTTAGTCAGCAAAAATAAAATGTGTAAAGTAAGCACATTATAATAAAGCATACCAATCAATGAAGCATCATGAGGGCTAGATAAACAAGAGAAAACTTAGGAGAATTGCACAGAAGAAGAAGGCAAGCAAAGAGAGCACTGGGCCTTTGTTCACTGTTCAACAGAAGCTGAACTGTACATATGAAATAGACCCCTCCCTTCCTTTGATAATGACATTGTTAAATTCTGGTTTCCCCGTAGTTTTTATTCTTCTAAATGGCCTCACTCCCTACATTACTGTACAAAGACATATTTATTTTTCTTTTTAGGTATTTCCTATAACTTTATCCCCAAATCAGAATTTCTAGATCAGAGAATATTACTGATTTTGGTTTTTAATTTTGCTTTGTGGATTCACTTTTATTATAGTAGTTTAAGTTTGATTACAAAAGAATACTGCTATATTCTATTCACAGATCATATTTGGATGCAATTTATCAGAGATGAAATATTGAGTGGTATAGACCATTGGTCTGACCAGTTGAAGTATGTCATGGGTCTTTCTTTAATCTACTGCCCAGTCTTATACCGAAGCATGGAAATAAGTATGAGAGTGAGCGTTACAGTTGTTTCACATAGTGAGTTTCCTATATATATTAGGTTTCTAGTATGTTCTGGATATAGATTTTTATACTTCAGACATCTGCACACATAAAGAATATTGAGTGGTTTGTGGGGGGGGGGGATCTTGTTACTATAGATATTATAGAATAATGGAAGAGTAATCGAAGAGTATTTTTCCTAGAATGTTTGGCTGGCATTCCTTGGGATATTAAAATGTTCGAACTAAACTATTTATCCAGTAGATGGCACTCTTAGTCCTTGGACCCCAAAGTTCACAAATGAATGACTGTTCCTTTGTGTTGGTTATATAGATCATAACAGAATCCATGCTACTGACGTCTTACATGCTGTTTGGTATCTTACTACACAACCTATTCCTGGCCTCTCAACTGTGATTAATGATCATGGATCAGCAAGTGATTCAGGTACGTGCTAAGGACATCTGTGCTCCCTTGTGAGCCCTGGGAACAATAGAGTACCTTTTCTTAGGAGGTCAAGATAAATGACATCATTTAATTCTTGTTCAAAATCTCTATTACTTTCATCTTTTCTTTTCAGATTCTGACAGTGGATTTACACATGGACACATGGGATATGTATTCTCAAAAATGTACAATGTGCCAGACGATAAATATGGATGTCTGTCTGGAAATATTCCTGCCTTAGAGTTGATGGCACTGTATGTGGCTGCAGCCATGCATGACTATGACCACCCAGGAAGGACTAACGCATTCCTGGTTGCAACTAGTGCTCCTCAGGTAACTCTATTTTGATTATGAGAAATAATTCAATTGAGAGATTTCTCTGAAAAAAAATCATTGTTTTAAATTTGATTTATATTAGGCACCAAATAAATATGAGCCGAACTATATTTGGCCCTGACATAAAGTTCTTAGAGATCATGCCAGCTTTGAAAAGATAATGTGATTTGTTCCAAGTTATTCATGGTAGGTATGCAACTTGATTACCCATGGAAATATCTTCTTAGTTTTTTCCTAGGGAAGGAAAACTACTTGAATTCATGTTTATGAACTTCCTCAACAAAATCCAACTTGTACAGAAGTCCTTTTCTGAAAAGATTAGAGAACCAAATCTTTTTGGACTTTTAAGAATGCAAGGCTTCCTTGGATATAAATCCCATTCCTTTGAAATAGATTTTTATTATAACAATTATGATTCTTAAGGTATTTTTTTGGTTAGTCGGAATTACAAATAAGTTTATTTCATTTGAGAGAAATTTTTTCCTGAGCCTAGCATTCCAAAATGGTAACTTTAAAGAAGCACATCCTTAGCATATATTTACATGTAAGTCAAAATTAATCACTAAGTATCTAATTATCATTAGCTATTCAATTAAACTCAGTAAACATCTTCCTGTTTTATAATCTAGAATTTTCTTTTACTCTGTATACAATAAAAATATTCTGTTGCTTTTTTTTCCTGACTACCTACTTTAACTTATTTCAACGTGTCTTTTGAGCAGAAGCATTATTTTTTGTATAGTCACGCAAATCCTCTTGCTTCTTACTATTCAAATTGTCCTATTTTTATACCTTAGTAATAATGTCCTTCTGTCCTAATGCCTTTTGTTTTCTATCCTCTATCACACTGTCTTCAAGCATTTTTTCAGGCAACTTTCTCTTCTTCTGGGCCTTTTCTGAGCATTATTAGAAAATTGCAAACAAGTAGATACTGTTATCTTCAATTACTAGATAAAGGGTGATAATTCCTATGGTTGATCATGGACTTGTCAGGGATTTCATTCCTCTTTATTAGTTATATCTTTAACTAAGAGGAGGCCATTCTTATTCTAGATGCAAAAATAGCTGAGTTACCTCTCAGGTATATTAATACATTTGCATATTTTTATGGTTAAATTCCTGTGTCCTGCAAAGAAATCTAATAAAATCTAGCACTAAGCCCCTCACTTGGAAGTGTTTGGAATAAAGTTTCAAGTACATTACCTTTATTTTACCAAAAAAGAAAGAACGAAATTTAACCAAAAAGAGTAATCAACAGCCAATGTGCAGCAATCAGTGATTCTTAATAACCAGCAGTCAGAAGCCTACATTTTTGTGTTCTATGAAAAAAGAAAATTCCAAACGCATTGCATATCCTCGTCTGTTTTTGTAATATTTTTTAACTTAAAAAATTGAACTCTTCCCTCTCTCGCTTGTTTGCCTAGGCGGTGCTCTACAATGATCGCTCAGTTCTGGAGAATCACCACGCAGCTGCTGCATGGAACCTTTTCATGTCCCGGCCAGAGTACAACTTCTTAGTTAACCTTGACCACGTGGAATTTAAGCATTTCCGTTTCCTTGTCATTGAAGCAATTTTGGCCACTGACTTGAAGAAACACTTTGACTTTGTAGCCAAATTTAATGCCAAGGTAACTAGATTTGTACCAGTCTTCATTTCATGGCCACACTGAAAGATGTCATGGAACTGAACTATTGAACAAGAGTCATTGCTATCACCTCTTATTTGTCCAATGTAAAAATGAAATTCAATAAAATGTTTAACTAGAAGCAGATAAATAGTCATTGGTCCCAATCTAGGAACTTGAGACATTGAGGTGCTGTCTATATTTTATTTTGTGATACAGGGAAATAATGAAATTCTGTCATTGTGTTTTTGTTTGACTTAATTTGCTCCCACGTCTGTGGTATACAAACGTAAGTAATCTGGCAGTAGAAAAGTCAAAACCCTGAAGCAATATTTCATATGTCAAACATAAATGCTCAAATGTTAATTCAAGAAAATTTCTTATTTGTAGCTACATTACTTTAATAGTAATAGATAACATGCTAATTTTAAATAGCATTTATTTTCAACTGCATAATTAATAATGAGTCATCATTTGTTATTTTATTTTTATAAACTATTTTACTATTAATTTATACTGTTTAATGCAGTAACATTATTTTAATTAGCTGAAAAAATTCTCATCACTTGGCATTCTGATCTCCACATGGTAGAAAAACAATAAATATTGTATTTTTTATTCTCCTGGTCAATTTTTGCTTTCCTTGAGGTAAAACACATCTATCTTTGTTTCTCAAACAGGTAAACGATGAGGTTGGAATAGATTGGACCAATGAAAATGATCGTCTACTAGTTTGTCAAATGTGTATAAAGCTGGCTGATATCAATGGGCCAGCTAAATGTAAAGAGCTCCATCTTCAGTGGACAGAGGGTATTGTCAGTGAATTTTATGAACAGGTAACTGATTTCATCCATGCTTAGGCTGCTCATAAATTCTGCAAAGTTTCCAAAAGCTTTGAGTGTGATAAATCTATTTCATATTCATCCTAACATTAGAAAATGCATTGGCCAATTTTAATCACAGGATTAAAAAGACCAAAAAATGGACTAAATTAAAACCATAAAAACTCAAAGATAAAGTTATTTGCAAGTATTTTGAGAGATGTTGAAGTAATAGAGACTTTGGAAAGACCACTGAAATATTGTCCTTTTACAAATTCATTATAATAGAAGCCAATTTTAGTTTAAATATATGAATATATACCAGATTAAGTTTACTTTCCTAATAGAGTTAAGAACCACAGTGTATGAAAAGGCTTAAAAAACAGGCATTTTTGCCCTAACTGGTTTGGCTTAGTGGATAGAGCATCGGCCTGCAAACTGAAAAGGGTCCCAGGTTCAATTCCCGTCAAGGGCATGTACCTGGGTTGCGGGCACATCCCCAGTAGGGGGCGTGCAAGAGGCAGCTGAATCGATGTTTCTCATCGATGTTTCTAACTCGCTATCCCTCTCCTTTCCTCTCTGTAAAAAATCAATAAAATATTTTTTTTAAAAAAGCAAGCATTTTATTTGACATGTTAATGTGAGGTTTAGCACACTGCCAAAAACCACCACCAAAATGTAAACGTGAGTGGTCTTCCCTGAATTACCCTCCACGGACCAGATTATACTGGAAATTTTGTATTGAGCATTGTGAACCAGCCTCTTAAGATGAATCTGGAGGTAGTGGAGCCTGGGTAAAGTACAAGGATCAGTGACATAAAAGCACATGAAGACATTAAAGGAAGTAAAGATATTAATCCTGGGGGGGAATAGAAGTGATATAGTAACTATCTTCAGATACTTAACAGACTGACATACAAATTTAGGATTAGGTTTACCATGAAGTAGTTGTGGAGATTAAAGAAGATATATCTTCTTGACACAGATTCTTGACATATATTCAAGAAGATATATCATATCTTCTTGAATCAGATTCTTGACACAGAATCTGATTTATAAGAAACATTAGATTCCTCTCTGCGTCCCTAAAAAGGGAATGAATATAACCAGTTTATAGAAGTTATGAGGAGATAGATTTCAGGTGAATGGCAGAAATAAATTCGCATTACTAACAGCATCCAAAAATAGGATGAGACACCTTAACAAGTAATAAATTGTCTGGACATATTTAGAGAGATTAGAAAGAACTTTTACAGGTATTATTCACAAGATTCATATGTACGATAAAAGGTTTGTGCTTCTAGAAAATAATGTTCTGCTTCTCCTAGGAATGAGGTTAATTCATAATCCTGAAATACTGAAATACAGGAAAACTCTAAAGAAAAAGGAAAATTTGCTTATAGTAATTCCCACTATATTGTCATAAACATTGTTGTTATATTAGTGTATTTCTTTATGGTTGACAATCTGGTTTTTTCCAGAAAGATTTGAAACTGTTCAAAAGACAAACATGTGTAGAATGGTCCTATTATATAAATAGTAAATAAGAATATAGACATCATATAATCACTGAAGATATAATTCAACCAAAAGCTAGGATAAGGTATCAACTTTAATTGAACAATATCATATTTTAAGATTTCTGGTAGCCAAGACAAAAAAGAAAAAAGAAAACATGATAGATTATATATTTGCTTGATAATTATTTCCAGATTTGGTTTTTATGATATATGTATATAAGGCACACTGACTAATGTGATAAGAAATATCATCTGCTGAGACATTAAACCATTTCTTATACAGATCCCCTTGATCAAAAGCCAAAGCCTCAAGATCAAAAGAGTGGTATCTTTTGAGGGGAATCTCTTAGCAATAAAGAGGGAATTCACACATGGATATCTGGGTTCTTGAGTATTTGCAAATTTTAGATGCTAAGCAAATGTTGACTTGACTTGTATTTTAAATGTCCCTTTCCTGATAACTTCCTGATTTTAGGGTGACGAAGAGGCCAGCCTTGGGTTACCAATAAGCCCCTTCATGGACCGTTCTGCTCCCCAGCTGGCCAACCTTCAGGAATCCTTCATCTCTCACATTGTGGGTCCTCTGTGCAACTCCTATGACTCAGCCGGACTGATGCCGGGGAAATGGGTGGAAGGCAGTGATGAGTCAGGAGATACCGATGACCCAGAAGAAGAGGAGGAGGAAGAAGAGGCACCAAATGAAGAGGAAACCTATGAAAATAATGAATCTCCAAGTAAGTTATAAAATCTTTTTCTAGGTTCAGCTGAATCATCCGCTTTTTATGAATTATATACTTTTGAGTCCCAATATCATCTGCTGCATTTGATTATGGAAAACCCCCTTAAATCTCATAAAAAAAGAAATTACAGGTTATGGGATTTACAATAATACCATGTTTATACAAAGACATGTTCTCTGCCATGAAGTAAAAAAAAAAAAATTTAAAATTAAATAGTTGAAGCCTATTCTTCAGAGTATCTTTTTTTTTTAAAATATATTTTATTGATTTTTTACAGAGAGGAAGGGAGAGAGATAGAGAGTTAGAAACATCGATCAGCTGCCTCCTGCCCACCCCCTACTGGGAATGGGCCTGCAACCAAGGTACATGCCCTTGACCGGAATTGAACCTGGGACCTTTCAGTCCACAGGCCAACGCTCTACCCACTGAGCCAAACCGGTTTCGGCCAGAGTATCTTAATGATTTCGGGATAAAAGGAATATCAGGTACGATCTACAGAAACTATAGGCTTTCATTGGCTAGGTAAGGGGGAGACCGTGTAAAGCAGTGAGAGATGGTAATCACTCATTCAGCAGCTATTTACTGAGTACCTACTCTGTGGCAGCCATTCTTCCAGGTACTGAAGACAGAGCTGTGAACAAGTCAGACAGAAGAATAAATAAATCCTTGCCCTTTTAGACTTTCATTCCAGTGGGGTCAGCGGACATTAAGCAAGATAATCAGTAAATCAAAGCATGTTAGGTACTGGTAAATGTTAAAATTTTTTGAAAGGTAAGGGAATATGAAATTAAAATGTTAAAATTTAAATAAGGTGGCCATGGAAGGTCTAAATAAAAAAAGACAGATGTTTAAAAAATGTTTACAGACCTGAAAAACGTGCAGGAGTGACTCATAAAGACAGAGATAAGAAGAACATTCCAAGGGGAGGGGAAAGCAGCCCTGTAATGGTCCGGAGGTGGGCGGAGGTGGGCTCGGCTGGGTGTTCAAGGAGCATCAGGAGAGCTGGGTGGCTGAAGCAGAGGAGAAGAAGGGGGGGGGGAGAGCAGCAGGAAAGAAAGGGGGGCTGTGTGATGCGAGGTTTGAAGATAGGGCTCTTAGGCCACAGTATGGAGTTTGGCTTTTACTCTGCCTGAGTTGGGAAGCCACCAGAGGTTTTGAGCAGAAGTGTTTGTTGATTCAGCTCACATCTCAACTGCATTGTTTCAGCTGCTGTATTGAGTCAATTATTGAGTTTGGGGTAGGAAAAGGGGTCTGAGCAAATGGGATGAGTTAAGAGGCTGTTGAAATTGCCCAAATGAGAGATATCTGTGGCTTTGGACTGACTTAGTGGCAAGAGGGACAAGGAGAAGTGCTCACATCTGGTCATTGATTTGGACTGCACAGTGTACCCAATCTAATCCATTTAATTAGCTATAAAAACATTATTTTTCTTCATGTGGTGAAATATTCTCAACAAAGGCTCTTTGCTATTTCTCCTGCCCTCTTCCACCCAAATCCCACCCTGCCCCAGGCCTTCATCACACTATTGCCTGTATCCATGGGTTATGCATATATGCATACAAGTTCTTTGGTTGATCTGTTCCCACCCACCCACCTACCCACCCCTGCCTTCCCTCTGAGATTCGACAGTCTGTTCCATGCTTCTATGTCTCTGGATCTATTTTGTTCATCAGTTTATTTTGTTCATTAGATTCCACATAAAATAAGCCAGTCAGAGAAAGACGAGACATAGTGGAATTTTAGAAATGGGAGGAGAACTGGTGAACATCTAGTTTAGCTGCCTCCTTTTACAAAAGACTAAACGGAGGCTCAAAAATTTAAGTAACGTTCTAAGGTGTAGATGTTTTCTGCAGAATCAGAAAGGAATCCCAGGTCCCCTCATGTTTAACTCCACGGCTATTTCCTCTTGTCCTTTTAATTTCAGAATTCATATTGACTATGATGGTTAACTGGATTTAGCCTGAAATTAAATATGCACTGATAACTTCAGCAATTTGTAAAACTTGGAGACCTCCCAGGAAACATAGTGGCTTTTTTCCTACCTCATAATTAAATCTGAAAGATTCCTGCAGCGAACTAAGAGGTTTCTAATGAAGTACTAAGCTGCATTTAGAATTTGAGCAATGAAAGGCTCTTTGTTCTCCTTTCAAGAGGTTCCAGTGCCGAACAATTTGGCTCCCAATACAAGCATGTTTTAGACCACCTGCAGACTCTAATCTACGCAAATGTATTTGGTACAAACTTGCTTCTACGTCACCTCATTCAGTTTAATTCCAGAGAGGTTTATTGCTCATGTTCAACAGCATTAATAAGAGATCAGCTGCTCTCATGGGGGCTGACCTGAAAGGAAAGGGAAAAAGTTGAGCTGTGTGTTCGCTCCCTCCCTGTGAATGCCCTGCCATGAATGTGTGTAAATTTCGGATGGAGCAATCACCCCGCATGGTAGAGTGTTTCCTCTGACCGTGATGCAAGTCTGTGCTGCAGCCAGTGGCCATCTGTAGCTCTCTTGATTCGAAAGGTTAGCATAGGAAGTATGCTAAGCTTTTAAAATTTCTCAGCAGAAACTGATTTGTATTTAGCTACAACATAAACAAAGTAGAAATAGACAAGTAAATGGCTTTTGGTAGGAGAGTATTTTAGAGATTTGCTTGTTAAAATCTAATGTATTCATCTATTTTATTATTAATGCATCTCCCTTGCTGAGAAGCTTTCAAATGAAGAAATCTTCAGGCCTGTACACATGCCCCTCATTCTGCCCAGAATGCTACCAGCCCCTTGCTTAAGACTGCCTGTATCCATTTAACCACTTAACCAGTTTTGTTATGTGTCTATATGGTTCAAAAGTAACTCAAGATTATTTTTTATTTCATGTCTTGTTTCTGAACTGTGTTTTAAAAATTGATCTTGTCCTATAAAGTACAAAATATTCCAGTGGTATATTAAAATAAAACCATTGTAGCAATCATTAGCACTTCCACAAAAATTCTGGTGTAGGACCTCCAAGACAGCTAGTTCCTTTGGCACATCTCATAGCAATTGACTTTTTCATTTTTTTCTTTTTTCTATTGTTACTGTTTTCCCCTTCTCCTCCTTCTTCTCCTCTTCCTCTTCCTCCTCCTCCTTTTCTTCTTCCTACTCTTTTTCTTCTTTCTTCCAGATTATACATTGTAAATCATTACCACTTCATTAAGGAAACCCAAATATCTGAACATGTGCTAACTTGTACTGGTAACTCTTTGATATAGTCTCAAGAAGATCAGAATTTCCTGTGGACCACTTTTTCAAATCATGATACTATTTTTATCACTTATCAATACTTCATCATTTACTTGCAACTGTGGAACAGAAACTAGAGAGAACATGACTTATTTGCTAAACTTTTATTGAACACTTACAAAAGGCTGGAGCGTTGTGGATATACACACAAAAGGAGGGAATTGCTTCTTTCCATAGGGAAGCTTACAATCGAATGGTAGGATTTGGCCTAATTTATAAATTCTTCACCTGAGTCTAAAATGGTCGCCCAGATGAAAATACTGAGAGTTACATTATCTTCTGGAAGCTTAGAAAAGAACAGCCCTCTCTTCTCTGCTCAAGGTCAGCTGCCTACTTTACCCCTCCTCTTATAGGTCTCTCCGACACTTTATGTTCAATATACCCCTCAGATCCGCTCCTCATCTGATGCTCCCTTTCTCAGGACATCATATCCCCATCTACTCGGCTGCTCCGGCCAGACAGTTTAGGGTTGTCTTTGATTCCCCCCTCTTATTTCCTACATCTAATCAGTTGCCAAAGTCGTACTGATTGAGCTTCACAAATATGTCCCACATTCATCTATCTTCATTTTCATTACCCCCATCTTGGTCTAAGCCACCGTCATCATGCAGAATCCTCCAGGTGAGACATTTCCCTCTGAGTCTGCTACCTTTCAAAGACTTTATAAAACTCAAAATAATTGTAGCGACTTGTTCACTCTACATATCCCCACTAGAGTAAAAGCTCCATGCTGGCATGTATTATATCTATCTCGCCTATCAGTGAATCACCAGACGGTGGCACACGTAGTACAGAATAGGTGCTGAATAAATACATATGGAATTAGAAGCCTAAATAGTAAATTATGACATCAAGGCAAATTATTTAAAGCATCTTACGTTTCTTCCCTTGAAACTAATTTTATTATATTTCTTCAATCAAGACATGCAATTCTATGAAAATTGTCTTCAGTTCTTCTATATTGAGGACATTAAATTGTTTGGACACAAGTAAATCTAATCTGTTTTATTTATGAAATGCGTATTTGCTGAGCCTTGCCATGTATAAGATCTGTGCAGATCTTCACAAAGTTTCCTCAGAGAGGCTGTAGTCTAATAAAGGAGCTGGAATCTATGAGAATAAGGTAAGTGCCTTCGAGGATTTAGGACATTGTTTTTGATACAAGTGACAAAACTTAAATGAATATATACAAAAGGGAAATTATTGGTTCATGTAAACATAATGTTGGCTGGTATGAGAGCTTACTTGCTCCTGTTCTTGTCTCTGACTCATCTGCCTAGCGAACTTGTTCTTTCAGTCTTGCTCTATGTTAACTTCATTTCAAATACATTAGCAGAGAAGAAAAGATCTCCAATCCTGACCCCCAGACCTCATGCTCACGTTGCACCAATAGTAAAAGTCCCAGGGAAGGACTCTGATAGGCCTGAATTAGGTTCCATACCTGTGCACTGGCCAATCACTAGGACACAGCTATGTTGTTGGAAGTGGGTGGGGAAGTTGAATTTGATCACCTTTTCCAGAACTATGTAACTGAAAGAAAGGGTCACTCTCCCTAAATGATTTTGGATATGTAGTTACCAGAAAAAGAGATAATGAGAATGAGAAATTAAAAAAAAACAAACTACTATCTACTATGAGAAGCATAGATAGAGTGACAAGAGAGTTTGAGAGAGAGATTGAAAGATTTTACTTAGAAGAGGAATTCAATGAATGTGACTGGATCTCAAAATAATAAATGGACATGAACTTTCAGTGTCTGAGAAGAGCATTTCAGAAGGAGGGGCTGTACCAGCTAGAAAGTAGAAGTGTTCAGTGTATACAGAAAAGAGAGCAGCAGGTAAGTGCAGATACAAACCAGCCTGCGGATGGAGGAAGACTGCAAAAGTGTGTTTGTGTCAGCTTGTGGGAAAACTTTGTGAGGAGTTTGACATTAGTGCACATGAAGCAGAGCAGGAACATCAAAACCCTCTTTAAAGAAATCAATTGTGTGGACTCTTGTGAGTTGAAGTGGTTGACAAAGTAAAGGAAGACATAGCAAGAAGTTACGTTAGTCATCTTTTGGTGAAAAGTCTTGAGAGTCTGAAGGAGTGGGCATAATACCAAGCTACCAATACAAAGAACTATGTCAATACCAAATATCAACTGCCATTCAGAGCCCTGTCTCAATGCTAGAGTAACGGTGACCGCCATCTCCCTCTTCTCTCCCCATTCTGGAAATGACATTATTACCAGACACAAGTCCAATGACAGATATCCGTATCCATTTGGTACTTAATTCCTATAGATAATGTGAAAAGAAATAACTGTTGTATTCAGCACACAAATAAGTAGTCTAATTTGGTGTTTTCCCAGGAAAGAAAACTTTCAAAAGGAGGAAAATCTGCTGCCAAATCACTCAGCACCTCGTGCAGAACCACACGATGTGGAAGAAAGTCATTGAAGAGGAGCAGCGGTTGGCGGGAAGTGAAAGCCAGTCCCCAGACCCGTCTCCCCAACAGCATTCCTCAGAACACATCCAGGCCATCAGGGAAGAAGAAGAAGAAAAGGGGAAGCCGAGAGAAGAGGAGACCCTGACCCCACAGCCAAACCAGTGACAGTGGATTATATGAGCGCTGCCTCGAAACCCAGTGACTCGTCACAGACTCTTTCCAAGCCAGCACAACACTTAGACACAACACTGTAGAAATACGAGAAGATGAGCAAATGGCCATTGCATTTGGGGAGTCTTCGCATTTTATGTGTTTATTTTTACAGTGAGGTACATGGTTAAAAACTCTTGCTCAGAGAAGCTTTCACGTTGCAACACCAGCTTCTAAAGATTTTTTTTTTTTAAAGGAAGAAATATATATGTGTGTGTGTATATAAGCTCTCACATAGATACATGTAAAATATATTCACACACACACAACACACATACACACTGAAAGCCAGAAGTACTGGCTCCACATTTTAGTAACATTCATATTAAGATATATAGTGGTCACTGTGATATAATAAATCGTAAAAAGAAAAAATGAAGGAAAACGAAGGAAATGGTGAGGCTTAGCAGGGAACAAGGCAGCCAATGTAGGTTACAATTAAGAAGCTTTTGCTCTTAGGACTGAGGGATGAATGTTCCAGAGAATTATTTGAATTCTTGTACACCCTACCAACATCGTGTGTGTGTGTGTGTGTGTGTGTGTGTGTGTGTGTGTGTGTGTGTGAGAGAGAGAGAGAGAGAACTGATGGGGTGTTTGTGGGTATGGATGTTAATGTGTATGTAGAGAGAGATTTTTGTGGTTAGTAATTTATAGAATTCCACCAGCAGATGACTCAACACATGTGAACAAATGGAGGGAAGTTTGCTCTGGAGTGTCTTTGAGAGGCAGCCATTCCCAATGCCTTCCTCCATTTAGCTTCAATAAAGGTCCCTCTGAGGAGGGAGTGGGTGTTCACGGGCTAGGTGAGAGGGCCACGTGATGGGTACTGCTGCTAAACACCGCTTGGAGGCTCTCCATCACCAGCCTTAAATGTGGAAGACTGAGGCCTTTTCCAATCTCCTGGCCTAATGCATGTGTAGGGGCTGTTTGCGAGTATGCCTGTCACTCACCTAAGATCAAATCACTACTAAGGGGATGGCATTCTTTATGCATAAACACCTAGGAATAAGCTAGTGTCCAGTCTTTTCATCAGGTGAGAATTCTAAAAGGTTTTCCAGAGAAGACCTGGGAATTGCTCTTCGCGGTGATCCCCATGTCTTAATCTGCTACAAACTGTGCCTGGTAGAAAACAGAAAAAGAAAGGAAGGCAAACAGAAACCATGTGAGAGATGAATGGGGAGACTTTCAAACTAGAGTTTGGTATTGGCTGACACGGGGAAAGCCCGATTCCCGGCAGCTGTTGAAGATTGGCTTTTGGGTGGCAAAGGGCCCCCTGACCCACCCTGTGGTGGTATTTCACACGCTGTGTGATGGGGTAGCTTCTACCTGCAATCTGGCCCATTGTCACGCTCCTTTTGGCAGGGAAGAATATGGAAAGGTTTGGGGGGACTGGGCCTGCCTATTATTGAAAGTCTTTTTTTTTTTTTGGTTTGTTTGTTTATCTACACTTGTTTATGCTGTGAGCCAAACCTCTATTTAAAAAGTTGATACTCACTTTCAATATTTTATTTCATATTATTATATTTGTCATGAATAGTTATCTTGATGTAAATATAAAGATTTTTTTTGTTTCTGTAGATAGTAAACTTTTTTTAAGAAACAAAAGGGAAAATGAAACATTTTTATAAAGTTACATTTTAATCACCATTTTTATACATTGAAGCTATCTCCACGCCCAGTAAGAGAGTGATGATTCATTTGCATGGAGGTCTTTGGACAGCCGCTCTCCTACCTACTCTAATATAAATGATCATCTGATACAGTTATTTTGTGCCAATTAAATGAGGATGCTGCAAGAATGTTTTTTCACCGGCAACTTTTGCTAACTTTTGGGTAGCGTTTGGGTCCATGGCTCCCAAGGGAAAGACTTTTTAAACAACCCCGAATGCTTATCATTGGTGTCCATTTCTTCCCAACACCTTTTGGGTAAAACTCTTCCTTCAGTACGATAGACAGACCAGCTCGTCATCTAAGCAAGCTCCTAAGTAGGTCTTGATTGTGATTTTTACTTTTTATTTCCTCTGAAGTCATAGAAAAGAGCGTTTACATTAAACATGCCTTTGTTTCTCATAAATGATTATCTTTCCCTTCCAAAGCAATGATTTTACAGTAATTCACGACATTTGCCAAACAAGGCAAAGATAATACAATAAAAAATAACATGGTTTCAAGGCAGATTTCCCAATAAGTATGAAAATATTGAAAGGATGAAAATATTGAAAGGATGAAATTGTTGCCGACTCTAAATAATGAGGATATTTGCTCTTTTTTTTTGTCTTCACTATTTAGGACTTACTGAGTTTTCCATTTTCTTAGTATTGCCTATGTGCCTTTATGTTTGCAAAAGTTATTTTTGAGTCAGTACATTTCCCCAATGAACTTAACTATTCTCCTTCCCTTGCGAATAAGAGAAAAGAAAAAAAAGGATTTAGACTCATATACCGCTTAAGTCTAGTTCCTTCACCAAACTGATCTTTTTCCCCTTCTCCAAATGCCATACTTTCTAAAATAAATATAAGTCCAGGAAAGATCTAGGTGTGGTGCAAGTAGAATGGCAGGAGAACAGACGTGAGTCTGTAACCTTATATGAGCAGCTTCGTCCAAGCGGCTTGACCCCAAGCAAAGGCCAGAGTACAGGCCTCAGTGAACGGCCTGTTTTGTTTGTTTTGTTTTAAAGCACATGAAGGAATGATGGCCAAAGCAGTTGGAACCTCTTCATTCCAGAGTTGTGTTTATCAGTCTAGGCAGACTGATCATTTTCCTTCAAAAATAAATTATCCGGATATGAAAGCAGGAAGTCAATTGAAATGAAGGAACAGAGATTCATCAAGTATGTGGCTTTCATACACACCCAGTGCATCCCCACGGATGCCTAGGGACATAGAAAGTCATTTCTGCTCGTGAAGTTCTCCCCCCTCCTCGATGACAGCAATAGTATTGTGTTCACTTCCAACTCCAGAGCTTCACTCCTTGAAGTGTATTTGTTGCAATTTGTTACATTTTTATAGGAGTCTACTTATAGGTGCCATTAGATAAACTCAGGTCTTTCAAATGAAGGAATTTCTGGCCCATTTAGGGGGAAAAAGAATTGTATAGGCAGCCACGAAACCAATGGTAGAAAAGGTTGGAACGAACGACCTTGATGCTAGTGGTGGTTCTCCATGGAGGAAAAGACCAGGTGTAATACGAGTGATATCCATGTCTTTCCAGCCATCTAAGCCAACTTTTAAAATAGTTTCTTTGGTGAAAACACCACTGTAAGGTGTTTTTTCAAGTGTAATTTTTTTCTCATTTATATCACACCTGGTTTTGTTCTCAGCAGAAGATGAAGACATTAGCTCTGTACAGGAATATATCTATTGGTCTTCATCTGACAAGGAATTTCTTCATACTATGTTTAAGAAAATATCCACTTTATAAAAACAGAATATCCAATTTTGTCCAGTCCATTTTGATGGAATTCAAACAAGTTCCAATCATTGCAATCCCAGTAAAACTGAAGAAAAGGGGTTGCATGTCGTGTAGACTGTTCATATTACATGTATGTATTGCGATTTCCTCGTGTCCCCTGCCTCTCTTGGTTCACGATTTCCTGATGTCCCTGTCACTTTCCAGAGAACTTTCCTTGAAGGTAAAAGCTGTGCAAAAGGCATGAGTCTCAGGCCTATACTTTGTTTAAATGATGGAAAAACATAAATTATTTTCTAAGTAATAAAGATATGAAAATTAACCTTGTAAATAAAGTTTAAAGTTTGAAATAACTGCTCTACAAATGTGAACTATTTGTGTGATGAACAATTTTTGCCTAATGAGAAGCGAAAAATCAAAAAATTTTTATCCTACGTTGGAAGGTCTTTTTGGTGCTTCTGTGTCAGTATGGGGATCTCTACTATCCTCATTTTAATATTTCTAAAATAATAATGAAAACCACAATAAGAGTCTTATCATCCTTTTCTTCTAACCTAGCCCTGATTTCTACTTAATGCCTTATCTAGTTTATATGCCATTTTAGAAATAAACTGCCTTTTAAACTCTCAGAAGACTCAAGTACAACAGAGTTCTGCAAACTTTCATAGCCTTCTAGAGTAAATCAAGATATTCCTTATTCTAGAGATTACCAGTAATGCTTAAGGAGGGAAATCAATCAAATTTTAAGTGCTAGTAGCTGAACTCTATATAATTGATAGCTAAAGTATCGACATACTTTGAACCAAATTGGGTTTCTTTCATTCACCTTCTCTCCTAACAAGCAGCAAAATAGTTTATGCCCATTGTTCTAGTTCATTCATTTCTCTCGTGATTTTGTTCATGAGGTAAAACTGTGAACTTGCTGATATTGTCCGTTCACTTTTCTTAGTTGTTCAACAAAATGAAAACCTTAAAGTAGGAGACAGATTAGCCATGTTATGTAAAAGGTATTCCAAAACTAAATTACTCTTAGAATTTCTAATCAAAGGAAAATAATACCAGTCCTATATTCATACCAGTTTGTTCCTCTAGAAAACATTCAAATTCCTATTGAAAATTTGGGGGTGAATTACTTAAAGTTGAAGCTACAAACCATGCATTAGCTAAAGAACTTAAATTGAGTTTCCATAAGCATGTGCATCATACTAGAGAACCATAGAGAAGAACACAAACATGTTTTTCAGTCTGTGTGATGCACCATGGATTTTAGGTAATTTCATTTGCTAATATGATGCTGCTTTTTTCTAACTTAAGGGTTCTTTCACCTTACCTAAACTTATCTTCATGTTCAGACTATCAAGTCATTTGAACAGCAGGTTAACAATGGTGACAAAAATAATAACTGGGCATTTTGTTGCTAAATATGTTTTAAGATACAAACTGAAGATTAAGGATGTGTTTTATTGTTGGAACTCAGTGTTAATTTGCTTTAAAAATACTGATCCAATATAAATTACTTGAATGCAGGGAAGACTATAAACTATATAAAATGATATACAGATGGAAAGCAAAATTAGTTTTTGACATATGCCTAATGTTCTAAAAAGATTCCAAATTCTCCATATTATACTTTTAAGGCAAAGTACCTTGACAGGTGTGGGTATCTGTGGATTTCTGCTTCACTGAGGAGCTGTGGAACACAGAAGAAAAGTCGAGCCTTCTTATTGATAAGAAATACTGAATGTGTCCATGTTCAGATAGATTTCCTCATGGCTTCATATCAAGAAATCATTTTTTAATCATGCAAATAATGCAATAAAAAATGCTTCACAAATAGTAATATTTAATCACCAAATGTACTTTCAAGAATATTAACATTTGATTTATTTTTGACCAAAGCTGTTCATTTATTATTCAACTTAAATGAAACCCACAAAATGACATTCCATGATATAGAGATGCTAAATATATTGAAGTAATCAGAACTAGTATTATGTAACAGGAAGCTGTAAAGATGAATATTTATTTTTTTCTAATGTCCTTTAACTCAGGGAGAAAAATGTTTTACGAAGAGTCTAATAAATACATGTGATGGAGAAATTTACTCCCAATGATTTAATTAGATTAAATGTACAAATTATACTCAGAGTTCTGAGTTACCTTCAGAAAAAAGGATGTATTATCCAGCTACTTAATCATGTTCTAGATTATTTTAAGATAAATGGTATATTGCTAGAGCTTATATTTTACTAAATTATAATGCAATTTAAAACCTAAATACTTATCTTCATTACCAAGAGAAGTTAAATCTTATTAATCTTGACTTCCACAGATGAAACACTGACCAGTCAATAAACCACACTCACTGCATTCATCTGCCAAGAGTGATCAAATGGTCGGTTGGAATTTGAAATTTATAAATAGAAAAGAACTTAAAAATATTTGTAAAGCTTTAATGCTTTAACTAAATTTTTGGTGTCAGTCGAAATACCTATTTCCAATGAAACAGAAACTACAGCAGGGAATCATCAGGGAATTCTTGTCGTCTAAAAAAAAATAAAGTCAAAGTCATAGGGGGAAAATAAGGGCATCTCCTCAATTTTGCTATTCTAACTCAAAATTAGTAAAGAAAAAAATAATTAGAAATTCTCCTCTGATGTAATAAGGAGATTGCCTTTTACCTTAAGTTCCAACTCGGCACACCTAGTTTATTGTACAGCCCATCTTACTAAAAAGTGAAAAAATAAAAAGGCAGAACTGTGGATTGGGAGTGAACACTACATAAAACTTCAAGGATCATCCCAGTACACCTCTCAATTTTATGACAACCAATTTAGTTAGTTATCAGTTACTCTGGAGTAAAGGGACTTATTTGCTTAATGGATCCATATTTCCACCCTGACTTCATTTACTACAATCAGCACTTACACATGTTTCAGAATGTGAATTAGCCCTTGGAGCTTTGAAACTGCTGCTTGAATACTTTTGAAAAGAAGGGTTTTTTAAAATATTAGTAATTTTACTCCTTTAGAATAACAAACTATCCAGATGGTTCAATGTGAAATTAAAAGTAATTGCTTAAAGATCTTTTCCTCGTGTATGTAACTTATTGCTGATATAATTGCCATCACCTTTCTTTTAAAATTTCACTGATTATGATTTTAAACCCATATTGTTAGATACTTTGCTTTAGCTATTATAAGCATAATCCAGTACTGTAGTCTTACTGTCTTTAAATAATAGCCCTAACATATCTATATGTTACCTGTTAGTGGAATTGAAGTGGCTTAAACTTTAGTACATATTTGTTCATTAGTTTAAAGGTCACTATTTTTAATACTCTGTAAAATATTTGCATGGGATTATTACCATGTTATGTATGCTTAACTGGTGTGTGTTTGTTTGTTTTCATTTTTAGTGTGGTTCATTTCTTGGTATATTCCCACAGAACTCATAGCATTTTTGTTCCAACAGGACAATTTATTAGTTGACAAGCACTGCAGATGATTATCACTGAACCCATCATCCCCTGCTATTTCTTCCTAGAGATTTTTATCATGCAAATTACAAAATGAAAATTGGTGCTTTTATAAATATTCTGAAAGTGTCAATGCAAAATGATGAAAATTAGATTCCTCATGGCTTTCTGTAATGACATTAGGATATGCAACTGAAAGAATTTCCATTTCAATCCAGAGTTGTTTTTGTTTGGATTGATTTGCTTACTTTGACTCAATTTTTGGTGTTAAAATATGTTGATTCCTGAGGAGGCATATTGTTCTGACCAGGGGTTACCTCTTCCAGGCATAAAACTGTCATTGGAAAGTTGAAATTAGCATGTCTCAAATATTTGAATTTGTAGGATATTTACAAACCAGAGAGTATTAACTTAATTTAGTATTCCTAAAAAGCAATATTTTCAAATAACTACCAACCAAAGTAAGAGTGTAAGGGATGTCATTTGTACATCAAATGTAATTCTCATGACTTTTAACAACTGAATATGTTTATTAATACCTTTCCAAATTTATCAACGTTTAAAAACCTAAGAGTGAGGCATTGAACTTAATCATTTTGCAATTAAAAAATAAATCTGCCTTCTCAACTGTCTCTTGCACTTAATATATGTAGCAATAGTTTGTATCACCCTATTATAAATACTGTTGGTTAAGTGACATAGTTAATGGCTGATACATGTTTTGTAAAAAGTAGAATCTGTACAGAAAAATTATTAGGTAAATTGTATTTATTTTTATTAATTTTTAGCTTAGAAACTATAATGATGCTCCTTTTTTGCCAGATTTACTGGAAGTGCCTCCTGGTTTTCTCTCTATATTAATATTACAGTAAAAATATACTCAAGATTATTAGACTTGTGACACAAATGATGGATGTGGATTTATGATGTGAATATATGTGTAATATAAATACAATTCTGTGGTATCATGTTTGATATAGCTCTTTGTACAACCCAAGTCATCCATCCAGCCTTTTGAAGGCATGCTTTCCTCTCATATCCAAATACAGTGGTTGTACCCAACCTATAATGGTGTGACAATCATTGGCCTTCCTGCAATTTCCAAGGACTCAGAGCTTCTATTCCCATGGTCATATGTGGAGGAATAGTTTGGGGCTAGAGTGATGGGAGCTTTGAATATCCCAGGATCCAGAGTTCGATTTTGCCTCATAGACAATATGGAAATCAATATATTTGAAAAATTAACTCCTTGGGAAGTTGGGGTAGAAATCACATTTTCCTTTTGTTTGTTTCTTAGGACTATGCTATAGTTTATTCTTCAAAATTAGTTTATGGGTGTCCAATACATTAGATATTTGGTTGGACAGACTCAGAATTATTTTTCTTCTGAGTGTTTAAACAACTTTAGAGAGAAATTTGTCTTCATGCTTTAATAATTCTAATGAACATAATGAATAGGAAAGGCAGGATAAATGCATAACTTTTTCCTGTAAATACCAGTTTTAAATGTATTGAAGTGGTACCTTAGAAACATCCGAAGTTAACCATATGATTTTTTGTGCTGTTATTATATGAATTCATGAATTTATTCTATATATTTCAACTGTTATAGTTATTCTTATTGATAGTCAAACTTTCTTATACTTGACTCTTAGGATCTTATTCAAGCTGTCTCCTAAGTCTTTTGGGCACAATCTGGACTTCACAGTCTCATTGCTTCTTCACATGACAAAATATTCCAGGCTCATCTTATATCCCTTCAACTGGCAACAGTCACGTATGAAGAAGCCATCGTTCCTTTTTTAATGCTGTTTCGGTGCTGGTTGTACTTATTGGTACAGCACTCGGTTGGGCATTGTTTCTAGATCTTTTCAGTGCAGAGAACTAGGACGTGTATAATTCAGATGGAAAATGCCTAATTCAAATTTCAGACTACAAAGTTTTTCTTAACCTCATTCATCTGGTAGATGATATTTTAAGACTGGTGGAGGTCACTAAGGGAGTAAGTGTAAATAGAGCAAAGAGAAGCTTCCAAGGACTGAACTGTGGGGGATTCCAGCAATGAAGACTAAGAGAAAATGACCACTGAGGCAGGAGGAAAACTAAGGGAATGTGGAGTTCTGAAAATGAATGAAGGAAATAGGCCAAAGAGAAGGACACAATGAATGTCCGTCATTTCTGCTAATAGAACAATTAAACTGAGGTCTGGAAATTAATCGTTAGATTTACTCATGTAAAAGTCTGATAAAAAACAGTTGTGGTGGAGTGGGAGGCAAGAAACTACTGTTCTCCCTTCTCTATTTGAAAACAGACAATACGAATATACATATACGTGGGTAGTAAATGTGGTGATGGCAAATTGTGATATTTGTCTCTATTTCATCATTGAATTCCCTAGCAAAGTCATCAGCTGGCAATGAGAGCTGGGGAAGAAATGTTGAAAGTTGTAGAAGTCACTTGGGAGAGAGGGAAATGATTGGGTTGTTGAAAGGTATTAGGTGTAACAATGCCTGTAAGGGGCCAGTGAGGCTAGTGGTCATAAGTTCAAAAGAATCCTGGAAGGCATGCTAGTGAGTTGTTCTTCAATTATTTAAAACAGTGTAGATGTACACCTGGAGTTGACAGAAAGTTGGGTTTAGCCCAGGTGTGGTTTGCCAAAGTAAAACAACAAATTGCTACATAAGCAAGATAATTGAGGCTGCATGGAAGTGAGTGATTCAAATGAGATCAACCAAAGGACTTGTACATATGCATATAAGCATAACCAATGGACACAGATACCAGAGTGGTGAGGGCATGAGCGGGGGTGGAGAGACAAGGGGGGGATAAGGACACAGATATAATACCTTAATAAAGAAAAAGTAATAAATAATAAAATGAGTACAAGAAACTCAACTCAGGTAAGGAGCAAAATGAGTATATGAATGCTGTGGGTTGAATTGTGTCCCCCCCAAAGAGATATGTTAAAATCCTAATCCCCTGTATCAGTGAATGGGCCATATTTGGAAATGGGCTTTTTGCAGATGTAATAAATTACTATGAAGTCATTAGAGTGGGCCCTAATTCATACGACTAGTATCTTTTGAAGAATAGGAAAGATACACAGGAAGAAGATTGCCATGTGACCACAGAGGCAGAAATTGAAGTAATGGATCTACAAGCCAAGGAATACTATCAATGGTCAGCAAGCACCGGAAGGTAGAAAAGGCAAGGACAAATTCTCCCCTACAGATTTCATCGGGAGCATAGCTCTGCCAACACCTTGATTTTGGGCTTCTAGCTTCCAGAACTGTGAGATAATCAAGCTCTGTTGTTGTAAGCCTCACAGTTTATGGTATTTTGGTACAGCATATTTAGGAAGCTCAGGCATATACTGTTCATTCATTTATGGTTAATTTCACACTACAGGGGCAGTTGAGTGGTTGTGACAGGGATTGGATGGCCTGCAAAGCCCCAAAAATCTACTGTTTGACCCTTTACCGAAAAACTTTGCTGATCCTTATCTATTCTGGAGTATGACAGTGGGATACAGCCAATGCAAGACTATGTATGAGAAGCTCTGAATATTGTGTAAAATAAGTATCATGTTGGTCAAAATAGTAACATTAACTGTAGACAGTAGAGGCTCAAAAGGCATCTTCTTAGAGAGTGAATTTAAACAAGTTGGGAATAGACCAAATTACACTCTCAGGGAAAAATCACTTTGTTTTGTTTTGTTTCGTTATCAGCCCTTTGCACTTTGGGCTGATAAATACTGTCTCTCCTTTAATGCATCAGTGGCCGCCTGTTGTACACATTGAAAATATAAGATCTATTCAGATGTTTGCTCACTATTCCTGATGACAAAGGCTGGTTTGATTGCTTAAATTAATTGGTCTTTCAGAGTCCGGTGCACACCATTGCTTTATTGTAAGGCCTATTATTTTCTTTATTTTCCTTGCATCCTTTCTTTCTGTCATAGTAAATATGCTTATAATAATATCTGAATATTGATTCATGATCCAGACCATTATGTGAACTGAAATTATATATGCAATGATGATACTGTCGAGTCATTAATGCTTTGTTATTTCCAATGCACTTGTAGAGGAACTCACTTTAGAGATTTAATATGGCCCCAGCAGTAAAGGCTGGGAAATGTTGGACTCTGTTTAACTCTCTGCAGCCTCAGGTCTGACTAATTACCCAGAAAGCCAGATGCGGCCCCTGCTTAAATGTCAGGCCCTAGGGAGGAGGCTAATGAATGTGTAGAATGTGGAAAACTGCCTGATGTTATCTGTTTACTTAGAAATGCATTGTTCTTTGTAGTGATCTACGTGACTACCTGCCATATGCGTTTACTGTAATCCCCTGTAAGCAAGAGACCCTGTCCTGGGAGGGGGTAGATTCTTCCCACCGGCCACCACTGGGAGCAGGCAGCTGTTTGCCTGTGTATATACATTTCTCCAATTAAAGCTCTTATGACTTTGAATAAGGCTGCATGTCAGTTCCTTAGAACTGATCCTGAATTTAGACTTTGGGGGCTTTCCCCCAACAATTGCTGCTGTGAGCAGGGTTCCATAGAAGCCACAAAACCAGGAGGTGTTGGGGGGAGAACAGGCTCTGCTGGGGGAAATCCCAGGATGGCCAAGTTCTCATGCTTTGGGCCAGTTGGCATAAGCATTGAAGGCTTGGGGGCCACTGCGTGAATATAGGTACGGCCTGAAGATACCTGCCGGAGTAGCAGAGTGATGGGGGAGGCTGACAGATAAGGAAAAGAAAGATGTTAAGGCCACAGTGGCCTTGGTAACTGGGCCCCTCCTTTGTGCCTGGGGGTTCTCTTGGGAAGAGACGTGAGCACTGGCCGATAGGAATCGCCATTTAGAAGGGAACTTCTAGTTAGAAAGGGAAGCCCTGCTGGCTACTGCTGAAGGGCTTTCGACACGCCTTTGTGATAGTGACAAGAAGGTAGAAGCCTTAGCCTGTGGGGGTGCGAAAGGGAACTGGGTGCTGTGCAGCCAGATCCGAATGGTCCTGGTCAGGGCAAACTGGGACCCCAAGACGTGGGACACCATGGAGGATTCAACCCTTTCTTTCTCTCAGAGGAGGAGGAAGAGGGGGACATGACAGAGATACCAGACTTACAAGCACGACCAGGACTGATAACCAAGTTTAAGACAGAGCAGCCGTGGCCACAGGAGGTGAACTTGGGGGATCTCCCTGGGAGAGGTGTCAGTTTACTTCTGTGAGGGAATACACCTCAGCTGATTTAGGAGGGTTAGGAAACAGGTACAGGCAGAAAGAAGTCTGGATGCTGTGCTTGTGGGACTCGTGTGCAAAAGGCATCCTCCTGACAGGGGCAGGAATCTCTTGGGTGCATGCTGGGGAGCTTGGCTAAATGGGGCGACCTGCCCTCCTCCCCACCCCGATGGTAGCCCATAGAAGCACTTCAGGAATTGATTAGAGAGCTAGAAATAAGGAATGCTATTTAGGCGCAGCATTTCTGGGGGGTCTGATAACGAGCTATTTACCTTAGCATGAAAGATACTATACTACAGTCTTCCCCCCAATCAGTGGTGGGAAAGATCAACCTCTGGTGTTGATCCTGAACCCCCTGGTTAGACTGCCGGTAAACCAAGTGGCCCAGGCTATTGCAGATGTAGGAGAAACTAAGAGAGCCAGAAGATCAGCTAATATTTGGGCAATCAGCCAGAAGGGTGGCAAGTGCGGAGAGAAAGGCCTGATCGGTTGATTCAATGAAAGTGAGAATTTGGTAGGGGCAGAAATAGAATATTGGGGACTGGCTATAATTATAAGGCATATTAATCATGCTCTGTTAACCTGAGTGTTCTGTTCTGATTGGAGAAAGCACATTCTAACTGGCTGAGAGTTGTACGCCCTGGGACATGGGCACTAACATAGGAACGCAGTCCATCCTCCTTTTCTGAGAACTGTGTAGATTAACAACCTTGTTGCTGAGACAATCTGGTCCCAGAGGCATCTGCCCTTTGCAACCACAAGCCCCTATGGCCTGTAATCTGGTCCTGGAGGTTCCCGGGGGCATCCGCCCTCTGCAA